AAACAAACAAGCAAACAAACAAAACCCTCAGCAGGTCAAGAAAACTGGAACCAGTTCAGTGAAAGTAAATATGGATGCTTATTGTTGTTTGTAGATTGTGTACTTGGGTGGAACTAAGAGAGGAACAAGTGACATCATGTAAAGGAAACAGTATAATCAGGACTGAGTTGGGGTACCTGTTTGCTGGCCCTGTACCTGGCCATCACAGTTTTGGACCAGGACAATAAATCTGCTCTTTCCACCGTGTTCATGCCTGGGTTAATTCCACAGCCAGGAGGGACTGGTTTTGTTTTTCACTGGTGTTGATGAAGGAATACTGGAAGTGCCCTTCTTAACATTGCCAAGGGAATACCTGGATGGTATCACCTAACAACATAATTCCTTCCTAACACTTTAACACAGCCAGGTGCTTGTCTCATGCATGGGAACTCCTGCTCTGTACAGCAGTATATCTGAGACAAATGTTTTGTAGTTGATAAAAATTTGTCTATAAGCAAAACCAGGGGATTTCCATGTTAACACTTATGACTGCTAGCCACCATACCAAAATAAAGCCTGAAACTGCTGGGGTAAAGTCACGATGAAGTCATGCTCTCTAGCAAAAATGGGTAAACAGAATCATTACTATAGATGTCATAACATGGATTAATGAAGCAAATACAAAGCAAGATAAATTCAAGCAATGTTTTAATGACTAATTGTCCTTTAATCCAACTTTGATTTCACAGTCTTCTTTAACTCTTGTAAAAAAATAAAGAACTATAAATTAAAATTTCCTGGTTTTGTTCATGACACTTTTCAAAACCAGATAGTTTTTTCTTGATTATTTTCTTCTGTCAAATTAAATTAAACACTGATCTTGAAGCCTAGTCTTACTTTATGCTTTTGTCAAATAAACATTTTGATCCACTCAATCATATCCTTTCTAGCTTCTTCAATGTAAGGTTTATCATCAGGTTTCATATCTTCTGGCTTCAATTGTGCAAACCCATGAACTTGTCCTGGATAAACTTTAATTTTATATGCAACTTTACAGTACTGTTTCAACTTCTCATCCAATAAGGTGATCTGTAAAAGAAAGTGTTTTTTTCCATTATGTTGTGGGTTGCTTTTTATGTCTGCCAAACTTGCCATTTCTCATAACTCTGCATCTTTATCTTTTCTTCATTGTCATACTTGAATCAGGTTCTGTTGCTCAGCAAATGAGAAAAAACATTTTTGGAATAAGGAGACTGGAACATTTTTAAATAGTATGGGTGAGTCTAAGAACCTCAACAGTTACTGAAATGTGGTTTGGTAAATCTCATCTGCCAAAAAGGAACGGGTTAATTTCTATTAAGAGACTTAGGCTTGTAACCTAATTTTAAACTCTGATTTTGAAAGAACGTACTCCCTAAACCAGTCACTCTCAGTCCAAAATATTTTGATAGGCTTAGTAGCAGAGTTTAAGAAAACGGTACACACATCCTTAGACACAGAATACTAATCATATGATTATGTACCTTTGTAGACACATTTTGGTATGCATTTTCATTAAAAGGTTAGCAAATAGGAGAATTAACACTTATTTTGCCCTGGCAATCTTAATTCTACCCATTGTGCACATTAGAGACAGTACTGCAACTTAGCTCATGTTCACTATTTTTTTTTACACAGAGCCGTTTATTGCTCAGTGCAAAAAACAATGTAATTGAGGATCTTTTTTTTTTTTTTAATGGCAGGATTTTTTCTTATGCAATCTGCACAGTTAGCTCAGAGAGAAAGCATCACAAGAAAAAGGTATAGTGTCAATGTGTAATGCATGATAAAAAAAAACATATTTAGGAAAGCTGTGTTCCTGGGAAAAAGAGACACTTTCACCATAAAAAGGGGATAGGGAGTGAAGGATTCATTCCCCTGTGCAGAGGAGACACTTATTTGAAGCACAGATCAACATGCTGAATAAAATAATTAGAAGTAAATATTGATTGGACTCCACATTTCCGGAGCACACTGCCAGTTCACCAGTTAGACTCTACTCCTACACAACAAGCTATGCTGGAGGTTGTATATTGTCCTTGTCACTGAAGAGAAGGACTTTATGCACAGAAGAAGGAACCAGTTTCCTACCCGTATATTTATCCAAGTCCTCAGGTATGTTACAATAGGTTTTATATCAGAATATAGATGGCAGCTAAGAGGCAAAGTAGAGTCCACAAGTTGTCATCATTTAGTTAAAATTCATGCCCACTCTTCTGACACAGTTCATTATGTCTTCTTGTACCAAAATCAACTAGTCATAGGCCCACAACATTTCAGTTACTAAACCAAAATTAACCTTGATAAGTTACTAAACTGAAATTACTTTTTTTCCATTCAATGTGCAAATCTGGTGGTTTAACTACCTCTTCTCTCATCCATATCAGTTTTTGAGATGTTTATCTCATACCAGTTTGATCTCCCTGCCCAGTTTCACACTCTGCTTGCCCAGCCACTCAGAGATCAGTGACTGGTCTTTACTGCATTTCTCACCTTTAAAAAGAAGCTTTGAATTACCTAAGCAAGATATGGGAGAAGTTGAAATATATGTAAAACAATCCAGCCTGTGTGATTTTTCATATATGAAAATGGTTTCTAACACGCTAGAATTCCTGTGTGTGATAAAGGAAGTATAGGAAAAGAACGCATTTCCAGTACAACCACTTACCTGATCAAAAGAAATAGTGTGGTCTTTCTCACCAAAAATGAAAAATGTGGGATTTAGTAAATTGTATCTTTCTTCAGAGTCCCTAATTATTCCTGTAATGTTTTTAAGAAACAGTCTGTTAGTGAGGTTAACATTCTTGCAAGATAAATGCCAAATTAAAAGACAATTTCTATTTAGGTTTACTCAGTATGTACAATTTTTAGATCAGAACGGTTTCTATTTGGATGGAGAAAAAAAGCGTTTGAAAAAAAAACATGAGAAAAAAACATATTTCCCCACTCTCCAAGCTCTACAGAAAAAAAATAGAAAATTACTGTGCAAAAGGAAGCAATTTTTTTTCCTGGTTTACAGCACTCTTAAGTTTTGATACCAATATAGAATATTGCGAAATAACCATAATTAAAATTTGCAACTCACCTTTGAGTTGAGTATTTACAGAAATTTTACAAAGAATAGCTAGAGTTACAAACTGTGCTTAGTCATGTAAGCCCATGTAAGTTGCCATGTGTTCTACACTACCATAGAGGGACACCCCAGCGGCTAATTGAGGATTTTTCAGCATCAAGTGGTGTACTGCCATTCCACCCCAGGAAAACCCAACACCGCATTGTTCCTTTAGATACTTCAAGACAACACCAGCTTCCCTAAGACATATAAACAAAAGTAAACTAAGGAATCTATTGCAGAATCAATATGTGACAATTTAAGAAGTTAATTAAAAGAGATACATGAATTTTTTAGAGAATATTTAAAATAGAGAATACTTAGAACCCCCACATTTTAGCCCAGAGCAGTGGCTTCTATTCTTAAATAGGAGTTAACATCTCTGGTCCTTGTTTAGGGAAGTACAGATGTAGGTACTTAAATACTTACCTGAATTGTGACCTGCTCCTTTGTTTTCAAAGAAGCAAACTTTTAATTGAATGTCTTTGTCTAGGACAGGACAACTAAGACAAGACATATCTGCAAGTAGAGCAACATCTTGCATTATGGATTGTAGGAATAGATAAGCTTCACTGTGCTAGCCCTAGAGTCCACCTACTTAGATCAAGATTTACCTTGAGTATGTCATTCCTGTTGATGAGTTAATGTTAAAATATCCTACCACATGCAATAATACTTACTGAAGGAGCAATTACTCAAAATTAAACTGTCAGTAACTATAATGTTTAAAAAAAAACAGGTATTGCATGTGGTATAATGTAAAAAATCTGCATATCGTTTTTAATGCAGGCTAGACCTAGTAATTTTTTTAAAATTGATATCTTCTTAGATCTCTATAGTTTTTTAAATCTTTTATTATCTACACAGTTTTAAATTACTTTTAAATGCAAACTGCATATACGAAGAACTGCATTTTCAAATATTTTGCACATTAGTATGGTCAACACAGGTTTGGTTAGGCTGACAAAAAAGCAGTACTACAGTGACACAACCAGGAGATTGTGTCTAGCCCGGTAGTATGTGCTTTGTGAATGGATGAGCTCTCTCAGATTTAATTTTTTTGGAGGAGTACTCAGTCATGGGTGTGTTGCATTTGTTGTGCTCTGAAAGAGCAATGGATCTGACCTTGAGGACAGCTACAAGTAAACCCTCAAAAGACAGCACAGGCATGTCCTTGCAGTCTTAATTAAGACAGTGCTCACATATCTGCTCACTCTTGGGAGTACGATGCTTTTACAGGTGTTAGTCATTTGTCTTTTCCAGAAATTCAGTCACAGCTTCTGCAACTATATGGTCAAAAACTTTGCTGAGAGATGTTGAAGTTAAGCTGTGACCACTGGGACATCTTGAAAGGGGCAGATGCATACTTGTGGCTTACAAGATGTTAGCTGAGTAACAGGATGTCATTGCCCCACCATCATCTGAAGTTTTAGGCTGTGGTGATAGATGCTGAAGGAAAAGTAATGCCTCCCATAAGTCAAGGAAGCCTTGTTACAGGCACTGCTAGGCTCTACAGATAGTGGGCCCTCTATTTCACATTGGGAGAGAGAGTATAGTTGATCAGATGTATCTTAGGTTTTGGGCAGTCTTGCAAATTGTGATCTAGTGCTGCTCAGGAGAATACTATCTGCACCTATCATCTACAAGGCAGAAAGCAAGATGGACAAGTGACAACTGGCAGATAATATGAGCAGTCGTGGAAGAGTTTTCTCCTTATCTTGAGAAACTGGAGGCAGAATCAGTATCTGTGGATGAGAGTGCTGGGTATTTCATAGCCTGGGAAACACTGGCTGCAACCCTGTGCAGCCACTACAACATAGTTAGAAAATGGCACAGGAAGACAAGGAGGGGGACAATCAGCAGAATGGTGGATGGAGCAAATGATCCTTTCCAAATCCCAGCTGAGACAGTGCCCAAAACCACAGAAGAACCACCCAGAGTAAGTAATTGTGTGCATGCAGCCAGCTTACTTTCCTGTGAGGTGCCACTTTAAACATTTAATACAAAATTCTCCTCATTTTCTGAATAGTCTTTAAAGATCAAGTACAAATATGCATCTTACTTGTCTACTTTCATAGGATCATGATGTTTCATCCAGTCAGCAAAGTCAGCCCAGTGATCAGTAGTTTTCCAGGGGTCTGTCCCCTTGAAGAAGTCTGGACAGATGGTTCTGTGTGAGACATGGAATCAAGTCAATTTTCACGTCTAGGTGGGGAAAATGTGTGGATGTCTAAATGTCTCCTAATGTCTTTTCTACTCCAGAGTACACAGCTACCTGGTTACTATCTGAATCATGTTCTACTCATCCTGTTCTGGCAATCAGTAGAGCTAAAAGTATGTCTTTCTATAGGAAATAGAAAAGACACACTAAGAAACTCACAGTATTTCCTTAGACATACTTAGTACAAAAGTAAAGGGTTTAAGCAACCTTTCCGATTCTATATAAACACATGTATCTCATTGCTAGTAAAACCTAAAGCAACTGTTCAAAAGGCTTCATTCTGAAAAGTTTATACAATTTAAAGGTAGGTATTAGTGTTTATCTTACAATCACCCACACTGTCACATAAGCACAAACATGCACTTCTGGACTCCTTGTGCTCAAGCAGCCATTTTTGACAGGTCAATTTTAGTAGCTTTGGCAACCTTATAGGAACATTTTGTCCCTTTGCATTTTTATTCACTCAAACTGAAATGATATGGTCTTCCCATGTGTATGGGAAATATCTTATGCTCTGCTTAGCTTTGGGTCTGCTGATCTATCAGCGTGTTTAAGAGGAAGATAGTAAATACAGTTGCTTACATGTATCCATGACCTGCAATCAAATCGACTATGTATCTAATGTCAGGGAACAGCCATCCAAATATATCATGAATCACAATCACAGCTTTGTCTGTGAAAAATGATGGTCTACAAATGTAGGCGTTGATGTGCTCAATTTGTATTTCATGTCCAAGGCACCCATATTGAGATCTCTCTCCAGTATTATATAGAAAAGGATCAGCCATTTAGAAACCTAAAGAAAAAAAAAAAAAGAGCAAGAAAGTCAAAATAATCTGTTAAGAAAAATTATTAAGGGCAAACAAAGGCAGATAAAATCTGCAGAAAGTAGTTCAATAACTTGGGTAAATAACATCGACATTCTTGTCTGAAAGGAGAAAGTAGAAAAAAGCAAAGGCAATGCTCCGGTGCTGAATAGTTCTTAGTCCATCATGTGTTATTAAGCTGAGAATAAAGATAGATACCAAAAGCAAAGTTCTAAAATTACAAACAGCCTGAGCATGTAGTTCCTGATTCTCACGTCACATTTGTTTTGCTCCCATGCCACTCGTCAGCACTGATGTGAAGCAGTGAGGCTTCACATGTCACTCTCTTGCCAGGCATGGGGCCATGATGTGTGTCTTCATGTGGAATCCCATCCTGGTTTCTCTGAATTACATGATGGGTGAAGACAGCAGCACTCAACTTCTGCAGAAAAGTGCTCAGTGCTTCTCTCAGTGCTGGCACCTGCTATCTGATCTGTGCTTTCTGTAGCAGCACCACAGCTCTTCTGGGAGCCAATGCATCTGTTGCAGTTGGTGATGGACTGTGGTATGGATTTATGAATTAGATTCTAATGCCTTGTACCCAAATGACCTTGAAAGGGATTGCAAGAAAACAAGCAGATACGCAAATCTTATTCAAAATAAGTGAGAGTATTTGGGTTTATTCCTTCCCTGAAAATAGCAATTACAGACAATGAGCCAGTAGCTGTGCTAGAAAGATTAAAGCCAAAAGTTGTTCTGACTCTTTATGTCAGGAGCTTGGAATGGACTCTGAAAAAAGTAGAATGTGATCCTATAATTAAAAGTAGTGTTATAATGTAGTTATACAAGGAATCCAATTAAGTCTCCAGGGACAGTGTTAATAGCAGCATCTCCTAGCCATGTACTGACTTTGAAACTGTCCTTGGGGATGCAGTACACACACCTGCATACACATTATGACTGCCTCTGCTTCATCATTTCTACATTATTTCTGTTTGCATTGTAACTTACTTCAGAAAACTATCTAGTCTACGTCATGGAAGTGCAGCAAATTCTGATAAAACAGTATGTTTTCCTCAGTTCTCCATTAACTACAGCAGTGGAGAGCCAGGTTTCACTGGGTAATGGGAAATTTTACCTAGGCAATACAGACACATCTGGAACCATGGTGCAGGCAGACTGAGAACAGAGTTGATGCCACACTCACCACTTCCTTATGTCTTACATAACACTTCCCAGCTTGCAGGTTTAATAACAGCATCCAAATCTTTTATGCATTTAGACTGCCTTATACCCAAGATAATCAGTCTTCCCAATGTATAGTGCAGACATCATTCTTCCTCATCCCCTCCCAGCCCTGGGGCTGCTGTCACTAGATCTGGCAGGGCCAGCACTGGGTTTGAGCAAATACACTTGATTACAACTGTAACCCCTGGCTGATAGTGTGGCGTAGATTCTACAGCTCCTGTACAATCAAGCTGCTTCAGAAATAGCCATGAGGTATATGTGCTCACATTGCAAGTAAACCCTTGTGCCAATAACTGAGAGCTGATTACATTTGTTAATTGTTCTTCTACCTTTCTCAACACCTGAGTGTCAGCCTGATCTTCAGGACTAAAACCTCCTTTGTTTTGGTACCATATGAAATTGGAAGCTGTAGCATGCACGGGAGACTATCTCCTGCTTTAAGCCCCATAATAGACCTGAAAATGCCCGAGAGACATTTGTTAATGCACAAGTGCTTCCCACCATTTTTTTTAACCTAAGTTGAATAAGCTGGCAGAAGTGCAAGACACTGCCCAGAGAATTCACAGGCACTCCCAAAGACAGCTGACACTACTGGCTTCCGAGATGGCAGCTACGATCTTACTCCACTGTGGTCTTTCGTTCAGAAGGGCACAACCTGTGATGGAACTTCAAGGAACTAGTGTTTAGGAGGCACTGAGCTTTGCACCAGTTTTGAAGCAGCTTACTCCCTATCTATTGATTGCTTCCCAGAAATCATTTCTTTGGCCTATCTTGATTGATGCCTAGCCAGCTGGCTCTCCCCCAGGCACCATGCTGTGGAGAACAGAGAACGTTAGTAAATAGTCAGCCACACCTGAACTGCTCAGAGGTCTTTGACAGGATCCTGTTCAGTCAGAAGCTCTATTTGCTCCTGCCTGCTTTGTCCCACGCAATGTGGTGTGGCAAAGCAACAAGCCAGGATATTTCCTACCTGTCTTGTCTCACCTCATTCCCTCTTCCCACCCATTTCAACCATTACACTTTTCCTTTTCCTGCTTTCCCTGTGGCATGGTTCCAAGCAGGCAGCATCTTGCCTTTACGCCCCACTCCTCATCACTGAACTCCAGCACAGAGGAGACACAGGGCCTGGTGGCAAGCTAGGAACAGGGGGATAACTGGCTGCTGCTAACAGGTAATAAAGACAGGTGTCCACAAGTATGCTGTCTTGTTAAACAAAGGCCTTCTTATAGCTTCTCCTTCTCACCAGTTGTCCTGCTCTTCCTTCTGTGTCTTGATACCATTCAGCTTTCATGCAAGTAACATAAAAACTTGGGAGAGTTACTGTTAGCTCAAGGCAAAGGTGGGCTCCTTTGAGAGCTAGAGCAGACCTGAACTACTACATTTTTTACAGAGCAAGAAGCCACATTGTTAAATCCTACTGAGTCTTAGTTTTCAATAGGGAAAAAAAAAAAATAATCCCTACTTGGATACTTGGAAGATAAGGCTAAAAAGCTTTAAAAAGCAACCAGGTAAAACAGGGGCAAAGATAGTCTTCAGGATAATCCCCACTTCTTAGAACATGATCCCAAAGTGCTGTGCAGTTTGGCAGGACCTTGGAGTAGTGATGCCAAGGTGTGACATCTCTGCCCTTTCCCTGGGTCCAGGGATAACATGTTCTACTCCAGCAGTAATTTATTTCATGGGTAAGTGGTCCAATGGGCCAAACATGGAAAAGAATGGGAATTCATTACCATAAGGACAAAAGAAATTATTAGGGTCCTTTAACGTGATCTTGCTACTGATGGACATAAAATGGTTGCCAGTGTCCTCGGGACTATTACGGTGCCACAGTTAGCAGTAAGGACTCAAAATGAAATCCAATCTTTCCTAAAGTTTACACCCTTTATCTTCACCTTATCTGCTCCCTAATAGTTGTCTTTGTGCATTTTTTTACTGAAATAAAAATAAAACTCTCCTTTGTTTTTTTTGCTGAACATTTCATGCCTTTTCAAAAACCCTTATCTAATTGCTTAGCAATATCAGATTTCTTCCTATAGTTAAAAGTAGTTAGCCTTCTTCTGGTGCCAACTCAGCCTTTGTGGACCAGTTTGCCATCACATACCTGAAGTACAGGATCCTGTTTTAGCCCAGCCCGCTTCTTCTGTTCAGTGAGATATCAGAAAGATTTCTCTAAATACAAAAAGAAGAAAACCAGTTCTGCTGACAGTTTTGCTCCTGCTGCTGCCCATCCAGTTTCCAGGTGCTCTTCAACTCTTCTGCAGAGTTTGAAACTGGGAGGTGAGGAGGAGAGGCTTAGCACAGGAGTCATCCCAACCGGAAAGGGTGGGGACAGACCATGCAGAGAGGGAGGGTGCAGCAGGCTCCACAACTCTTTCCTTTTTACTCTACCTTTTATTTATTTATAACTGAACAAGTTTAGAAAGCAAGATGCACACAAACATATACTGCATTTACTTTTTTTCTTCTCTATGTGTAATTCCTAACCAAATAGTGTAGAGAAGCTGAAACAAGGCTGCTGAGTCTTAGTATAAGCACACTTCAGTTTTCTGGGAAAATTTCACTTCCAGACTTGTACATGACAAAGCAAATAATGCATGTGATGCACCCAGCTAAGACACCAAAGAATCTTTAGACCTCATAATTTGTAGCTGAGACATCTAGCATCAGAGGTGCATTTGCTGATATGTTGTTGAATACAGAGATGCATTTTCTTATAGTATATTCTCACACTTTTATTGTCCGTAATAATTGCCTTTGTGCTGAATTAAGATGAATGCATCCTGGTAAACTTGCAGCATAAGAAAACCACGGAAGTCTTCCTACCATACAGATTAAACATACTACAGCCACACCCAAAAGTATTTCCAACAAGTCCAAAAGCGTTCCGGGTTATTTTTTATTAGACTTGCTTTCAACAAGTTAGAAACATTTGAGTCTGAAACAGTTGTTATTCATGGTGGCTCACTGAAATTTTCTTTTCCTATTTCCACAACAGCCTTGTATGCAAAGAACACTAGCTTAGACCTCAGGCTGATATCTACTGCAGCTTTAATTTCACCTGCACGTGTTTTATGTGCGTGTGCATGTTAGAGGGGAGAAAGAAATAAACCATGTCATTTCAAGTCAAAGATCAATAAAAAAATGTTGATCCTAGGTATATATGACAAATGTACACAGCAGTCCTCTCTATGGCAGTGACCACTGTGTAATCTAAGGACTATGGAAAACCAGGTGACGGTTGGATTCAGTTCACCCAACTTCAGACATTTACAATGAGGATATCCACATGTCAGCAAGGTGTCTACACTCCCATAGTTGTCATGAAGATTTAGGGTATGATTCACACTCTATGGGTGTCTTCTTTAGAATTAAATGGATGGTCCCATAGATGCCATAAACTGTGCTGATCACGGATTTTAATGGCAGCCTACTCATCTAGTGCAGGTGTATATTGCTGTGCTGAGTGCATCATCACTCAGGAAAGATAAGTCCCACCTCTGTGTGCTGTGGGAGATACATGCAACTCGAAATTAAGGTTTGTCATGATCAGACAGAGGGTGTTTGTCCTGTCATACCTGTCAGTAGCTTTGCACATCAGGACTGTATAAGAAACCATAAAAAAGATTGCTTGTGTTGCAAGGGAGGGAGTGGGGAGACCTCAGTGAAAAGATCCAGATTATACTCTTGAGCTTGTCTAACCCCACCTGTGTGGGCATGCTATACTCAAGTACACA